CGAATATTGTGTCCATTTTTGCCCCAACTGTTCAGGGTTGGACCTCTGCGTTCGTATCCAGCTGCGCTCGGCGAAGCAATTTATTTGATGTTGATGCACAGACAAAATGAATAAAAAGATTTTGATCTTGTTTCCTATTCCACCATGCATCATAATGTTGGTATAAATGAATATAGAGTATCTTGATTTGGTCACCAGTAAATTTGCTATTTTTGTCGAGCCTGCGACATTTATGTCGTAAAAGTGAGACATAGCGATCCTACATTCAGTCATCGGCGTCTGCTGCATCAACGTTTAGGTTCAATTTATGGGTAAAGTTGTTTAAGACATCAATTATTTTGTCAAACCTCCTTGGAATTTTATTAAATTTTGATAGAAGCTAGTTAATGACCAAAATCATGAAATTACAGGATCCAGAGCAAAATGTAGAAAATATTTATTTTCATTTTTCCGTATTTTACTGATAAATTGACTTAGTTTTTATACGACCGCAAAAAAAATTTTGTGGTCGTATATTGGTATGACGTTGGCGTCGTCGTCGTCATCGTCCGAAGACACATTAGTTTTCGCACTCTAACTTTAGTTTAAGTGAATGGATCTCTATGAAATTTTACCATAAGGTTCAATACCACAAAAGGAAGGTGGGGATTGATTTTGGGGGTGATGGTACCAACAGTTAAGGAATTAGGGGCCAAAAATAAGCATTTTTGTAACTTCCAGACATAACTTGTGTGTAAGTGTATGGATCTCTCTGACAGTGTACCACAAGGTTCCATATCACAAAGGGAATGCTGGGATTGATTTTGGGGGTAATTGCCTCCAAATTTTAGGAAAAAGGGGCCAAAAAGGGGCATAAAACAAGCATTTTTCTAGTTTCCAGACAATAACTTGTGTGTAAGTGTATGGATCTCTCTGACATTGTATCACAAGGTTCCATATCACAAAGGGAATGCTGGGATTGATTTTGGGGGTAATTGCCTCCAAATTTTAGGAATTAGGGGCCAAAAAGGGGAAAAAAACAAGCATTTTTCTAGTTTCATGACAATAACTTGTGTGTAAGTGTATGGATCTTTATGAAATTGTACTGCAAGGTTCCATATCACAAAGGGAAAGCTGGGTTTGAGTTTGGGGGTAATTGCCCAAAAAGTTTAGGAATTTGGTGCCAAAAAGGGGCCAAAAAACAAGCATTTTTCTAGTTTCCAGACAATAACTTGTGTTCAAGTGTTTATATATGGATCTCTCTGAAATTGTACTGCAAGGTACCATACCACAAAGGGAAGGCTGGGATTGAGTTTGGGGGTGATGAATCATAAGGGGGTTAAAAAATTGGGGGGGGGGGATTTTTTTTTCTTTTTTTTTTCTTTAAAATTTTCCATTTTAAATTGGTTATTTCTGATTTATATATAAAAGCAAATATTAATGAGTTGGTTTGAATAGGTAAATTAAAATTTTTTTAGTTCTTAGACCACTTTCATTCTGTGTCAGAAACCTATGCTGTGTCAAATATTTAATTACAATCCAAATTCATTGCTGTATCAAGCTTGAATGTTGTGTCCATACTTGCCCCAACTGTTCAGGGTTCGACCTCTGCGGTCGTATCAAGCTGCGCCCCAGCGAAGCATTTTATTTTCACAGTTAACAAGTAGATACAGTCTGGGGTTAAAGTTTGTTACACATCAATTACTTTGTCAAACCTTCATAGAATTTAATGAAACTTTGGCAGAAGCTTATTTATGATTAAGAGATAATGTTTAAAGCAAACTTTTGAAAACATAATTTCATTTTTAGTATTTTTCTGAAAGATGGACTTAGTTTTTTACAGCTAACAGTTTACAGACAGTCTGGGATTAAATTTTTTTGACCTGATAAATTTGTAAACCTTCATGGATTGCTATGAAACTAATAGACAGAAGCTAATTTTCAAGACAACCAAATGGCATCTAAAGAAAAAGTTTGATATTTTTTGAAATTCTGTATTTTACTAATAAATGGACTCACTTTTTAAGTCAACGTTACACTTTTACACTGACAGCAGCAATCGTAGGCAAAACACAGGGTTTTGCAGAACCCCTTATGAATTTTTAGAGATAGCATCCTGCATCAGACAAGCCCTTTATTGAGATTATTATATTCTCTATTTTTATGCCCCCGCCTTAGGCAACAGGTGCATTAAGTGTTACCCTTGACAATTCGTCTTTCTGTCCTTCCGTTAGCTACCTTCTTAAAAGCTTTATATTTTCCAAGGTGGAAGACCTGGATGCTTCAAACTTTGTATATGGATGCCTTATGTATGAAGTTTCCATCTATCATATGTCCATTGCCCTTGACCTCATTTTCATGGTTCAGTGACTACTTGAAAAAAAGTTAAGATTTTTTGTAATGTTAATTTCTCTGTTATTATGAGTAATAGGATAACTATATTTAATATGTGCGTACCTTGCAAGGTCATCATGCCCTACATCTGACCTCGACCTCATTTCATGGATCAGTGAACAAAGTTAAGTTTTCGTGGTCAAGTCCATGTATCAGATACTATAAGCAATAGGTCTTTTATATTTGGTGTATGGAATGATTGTAAGGTGTACATGTCCAACTGGAAGGTGTCATCTGAACTTGACCTCATTTTTATGGTTCAGTGGTTAAAGTTAAGTTTTTGTGTTTTGGTCTTTTTTTCTATTACTATATGCAATAGGTCAACTATATTTGGTGTAAGGAAATATTTGACAATGTACATGTCAGTCTGGCAGGTTTTATTTGACCTTGACCTCAAATTCACAGTTTATTGCTCAGTGTTTAGTTTTTGTGTTTTGGTCTGTTTTTCTTAAACTATAACCAATAGGTCAACTATATTTAATGCATAGATTGATTGTCAGGTGTACATGTCTGTCTGGCTTGGTTCATCTGACCTTGACCTTATTTTCATTGTTCATTGGTCAATGTTTAGTTTTCCTGTTTAAAGTCTGTTTCTAAGAAACTATAAGCAATAGGTCAACTATATTTGGTGTATTGAATGATTGTAAGGTGTACATGTATTTCTGGTTTTCTTGGATTATGTTAAGTTTATGTGATACTTTTAGTAAAGCTTTATATTTAGGACTATCAACATAAAATCAATGGTCAGTAAAGAAGGCGAGACATTTCAGCGTGTGCACTCTTGTTTCTGTAAATTTAAAAAAAAGGAAATATTGGACAAAAACTAAACTCATATTTCTTTCCTTTGGCCTTTGGGGCATAAAAGGATAACATCAGAATACCAATTTATTTTATGATTGTAGCTGACAGTCTGGAAACAATGAGCTTCATTGATAAAAACTGTAATGGATCAATAGTCGTAATAGTAGCTTGAATGGTGTCATTAGAAAATCAGCAGAATTGATATTACTTAATAGATAGTCAATCAGACAAAATTTATTACTTTTTACCATCAGATGATATTATTGGACTATAAATCGTGTAATAAGTGGTTTGTGTAGTACACAAATTGTTATACGTAGGCAAAGGAAATAAGAATGGAAACAAATGTAGTGTAATGTTCTTTGCCTCATTTTCACTGTCTATGTTCATCAATATATAAAAAGTGAGAAATTTGTACAGGGTACGCTGTGAATCCTTTGTTGAGATCGAACATTTTGATGGAGAAAAACTTCTATAGAACAATTTGCTTTCATTTGATTGAAGTTTCCAAAGGAGTTCATTCAAGTGTTAATTAATTCTGTTTATTATCATATACATGTATTTTATAAATGCTTAAATAAATGTACAACTACATGTAGAATAAAATTTCAGGTCCAAATTGAAGAAATATTTTTCTTAAAAATCATTTTGACTTTTACTTATGATGCAGTTGTAAAGCATCTCTCTTATAAATACCTAGCCCTACCTATAATAAGATAAAGATGTCTTAATATTTACAACATGACTTGGGTTTGTAAAATGTTCTTAACAAGAAAAATTTGAAGTGTGATATATAGGAATGGGATCTCTATTTAGAACCTCTTTGATAGAAAGTAAATTTATTGTTGAAATTAAATTTGTCTTTTCAAAATTTGTATTCATTAAAGAAAAATATGTTAGTTCAAAAATACATTTTTGAAAGGAAATAATTGGTGAAAAGTTACAGTAGTACTTGAATTTTGTTGGAGGACGTAGTCGGTTGCCTATAATTGCTTTCATCAACTTCATTGGAACTTGGGTGGATAGTTGTCTCATTGGCAATCATATCACATCTAATTTTTATACGCCTGTTTACAGGACGTATTATGGTATATCATTGTCTGTTAGTCCGTCTGTCGTCAACATGTCGGACAATAACTCAAAAACGTTTTACTCAATTTGCATGAAACTTGGGTGAATTGTTTATATCTATTGACGTGAGCTCCCTTTCGTATTTTTTATAAATTTTAGATTTGACGTTTTCGAGTTATGGGGTTTTATTCATTAAAAAAGGGGAATTTTTCTGTTTTCGGACAATAACTCAAAAAAGCTTTCAGCAGTTTAATGAAACTTTGATGAATTGTTTACATCTATTGACTTAAGCTCCCTTTCGATCTTCATAAATTTTAGATTTTATGTTTCGGAGGTATGCGATTTTATTCATAAAATAGGGATGATTTTCCAGTTTTCGGACAATATCTTTCAAGTGCTTTGAGCAATTTTCATGAATCTTTGGTGACTGGTTTATATCTATTAAGATAACCTCCCTTTAGTTTTTCATAAATTTCTGACATGACATTGAGAAGTTATTGAATTTTACGTATTCTTTGAAAAAAGCCACAGGCGTATCATGCGCTCATGGCGCAGCTGTTTATTATATACATCATGTACATCAGAAGCTATGGAGAATAAGAGAATAAAATGAAGCAAGAGGTCTTTTAATATTCACAAAAATATATTCTTGAGTATTTTATAAAGCTATTTCCAAGCTCTTATTTCATGTACACTTGACCTTGAAGTTTGCTGTGCAAATTAATTTTTTTAAGCTGATCCCCTTTCTTCTTCAGGTGTTCTCAGCGTTGATATTTGTCGTAAGGATACCAGTACAGAAGAACTGACCTCAGCATTACACCAAGGTGCCTTACCAGTAGGAGGTTTTCAAGCAGGGAACTTTTCAAAAGACACCAAAGCAACCAAACTTTCAACCTGTATATTAAGCTGCTGTAACCAGGACAATTGTGACGCTGTCTTCTTCTTTCATAATCCTAAAATAGATTCAGTTACATGTTATCTGATACAATGTAATAAGACATACCCAGGATCATGTGATCCAGGGCCAAAAGGCAACGCTACAAATAAAACATACTTTGTAAATGTTCGAGATGTTGGTAAGTATTAAGATATGTGTTATAAGGATCTGGAAACACTACGTTCTGATTTCTGTAATTATTGCATGGAGGATGGCAGATATTTTAAACATTAATAAATCTCTTTTAACTGTTTTGTATGTAAATCAAGACACCACACCAAATACTTAGCATTTTTATGCTCTTAAGGGCTGTAATTCCTTTAAAATTGTCAAACAGAGTAACATAATGCTTCAAAATTCTCATGACCCATTTACATGAGTATTTATATACTGTTCATAATAAAACAAAGATCGTAATGGAATACAATGAAAGGATTCTTTCTGTAAGAGGTCAGAAGACCAAATGATGCAATGCAACCATTTCAGAGTTAATTTGCCTTTTCTTCAAATTTTCTTAATCAGTTTTCAAAATTAAATTTATAGTGCAGTATTAGGAAAAGAAATATACATTGATATGTTTTTTAGTTTTTTCCCAGGGAGGAAGTACTCCTGCTCAGCGTGAAGGATCTTGTAATATACATTGATTTGTTTTTTAGTTTATTCCCAGGGAGGAAGTACTCCTGCTCAGCGTGAAGGATCTTGTAATATACATTGATTTGTTTTCCAGTTTATTCCCAGGGAGGAAGTACTCCTGCTCAGCGTGAAGGATCTTGTAATATACATTGATTTGTTTTCCAGTTTATTCCCAGGGAGGAAGTACTCCTGCTCAGCGTGAGGGATCTTGTAACATACTGAGTGAGAAGTCTGGTTGTGAGGAGAATGAAGAGTGTAGGTTAAAAGCTACAGTCTCATCCTACGACACAGAATGTGTCTGTATCAAGGGATACAAGTTTGACGAAAACAAGAAATTATGTGTAAAAGGTAATGTTCTGTTAAACTACAGACATTTCAGTAAATGTAACACTCAAGCATTATAAAGGAGTTTTCAAAACTCATGCATTCCACATGTATATTTTTCACACCCTCAAAACATATGATCATGATCTCACTGTTAACCTGAAAAAAAAAAAAAAAAAAAAAATAGCACATCTCTGTCTGTTATAAACATATTTCTGATGTTTTGTAACACAAACTGTTGAACTATTGACCAGTTTTGTTTCTTATGCTTTATGGTTAACATGGTTAAATCTAGTCAAATTGCCAGTTTTTAAAACAATAACAAGCTGTTGAAATACAAACTTTTTTTAAGTGGAAAGGTTTAATTCTGGTAATACATTACCTTAGATTTATATATAATCTGCCTGAGTAAGTTTGATTTACCATGCAGCTATCTATTTTTAAAAAACCTCTATTTATAATATAAGTTGAGAGAAATATTAGATAAATATTGCTAGTGCAAAAAAAAAGTAAACATTTCACTGAATGTGGTGGTGTTAAATTGAGCATCATTTATACTTATTTTATCAATTTCTGCATGGACAGAAGTGATCTATTTCTAATCCTCACCATTTAATTTAAGTAACAAATTTCATTGATTCAATTCAAAGGCAACAGTCTGTCTTATTGTAACATTGTCTAATAGTTCAATGTGATATAATTCGGTTGAATCGTTACAATGTACAGATCATTGTCACATGTGTTGCCATGTAAATTTAAATCAATGGCGAAAAACTATATTTTGAATCGTTATAAATATTCTTTATAAAAGATTTGAAAATTGAATTTATCCTACGCATTATAATATACATGAAATTATTGCCACTGGACATTAATCAATCAATAATCAATCATTTTAAGGGGCGAGTAGGTTTGTCTCAAGTAGGAGTATAAGGAGATGTAGGGTAAACAAATGAGACAGCAACCCAAAAACTAAGAAGCAGTTAAAAAATGTCTAAATTTCAACATGACTATGGTTTTTAAAATGTTCTTAGCAAAAAAAACTAAAGTGTGATATATGAATGTTATCTCTATTTAGATCCTCTTTGATAGAAATTAATTTATTGTTGAAATCAAATTTATCTTATCTAAATTTTTGATATAGAGAAAAATATTAGTTAAAAAAAACATTTTTCAAAGGTTTGAATAAATGTTATAGGAAACGACTCGTGAAAAGTAATAGTAGTCCTTGATTTTTGTTGATGTCCTTGAGTATTTTGCCAGTCATCTTGTTTATTGATATTCTGTATAATACCACACAACCTTGGTACACAAAAATATCAGACACTAAGGTCAAAGAAACATAACATTACATTTTTATAATATTGTGGATAAAAAGATTTGATAAAGGATTTAATGTTGAATTATTGATAAACCAATTGCTGTTTTCTTATCAAAGTCACAGTGATACTTTTAATATCAAGCAATAACTCACACCTCATTGCAAGTTTAAAATGGCTGGTATCAATGTTTCAAACAAAATTCTTAGCTAATTGTTAATAATGCTACATCTGAACATTGAAAAAATTAGGTGGGGTAAGGGTGATGTAATATCAACAGAACATTCTCTGGTCTGAATTTCATTAAATATCTAGGGGACTGTTAATTTAGAAATTAATGTATCAATTTATTAATCCCTGACCTCTGGCAAAAATGCGAGACTGCAAAAGTTTTTAAAGGAAAATCACTACTAAAATCTTGAATGCCAGTTTTTATACGACAGCAACATTTTTGCAGTAGTATAAGGATTTTCATGTTTCCAGCCTACAACTTGAGTATATGTCCATGGATCTCTATGAAATTGTACCACAAGGTTCCATACCATAAAAGGAAGGTTGGAATTGATTTTGGGGGTTATGGCCCAAACTGTTTAGGAAAATGGGCCAAAATAATACTTTTTGTTGAGCCTGCGACTTTTGTCGCAGAAAGCTCGACATAGGGATAGTGATCAGGCGGCGCTGGCGTTAGCTAACTTCTTAAAAGCTTTATATTTTAGAAGGTGGAATGTCTGGATGCTTCATACTTTGTATACGAATGCCTCATGTTACGAAGTTTCCGTCAGTCACGTGTTCAATGTCCTTGACCTCATTTTCATGGTTCAGTGACTACTTGGAAAAAAAGTTAAGATTTTTTGTAATGTTAAATTCTCTCTTATTATAAGTAATAGGATAACTATATTTGGTATGTGCGTACCTTGCAAGGTCCTCATGCCCGTCAGACAGTTTTCACTTGACCTCGACCTCATTTCATGGATCAGTGAACAAGGTTAAGTTTTCGTGGTCAAGTTCATATCTCAGATACTATAAGCAATAGGTCTAGTATATTCGGTGTATGGAAGGACTGTAAGGTGTACATGTCCAACTGGCAGGTGTCATCTGACCTTGACCTCATTTTCATGGTTCAGTGGTTATAGTTAAGTTTTTGTGTTTTGGTCAATTTTTCTTATACTGCATGCAATAGGTCTACTATATTTGGTGTATGGAATGATTGTAAGGTGTACATGTCTAGCTGGCAGGTGTCATCTGACCTTGACCTCATTTTCATGGTTCAGTGGTCAAAGTTAAGTTTTTGAGTTTTGGTTTTTTTTTTCTAATACTATATGCAATAGTTCAACTATATTTGGTGTATGGAAATATTTTATGATCTTTATGTCAGTCACGCAGGTTTTAATTGACCTTGACCTCATTTTCAAGGTTCATTGCTCTGTGTTCAGTTTTTGTGTTTTGGTTTTTTTTACTTAAACTATAAGCAATAGGACAATTATATTTGTTGTATCGAAGAATTGTTAGCTGTACATGCCTGCTTTGCATGGTTCATTTGACCTTGAACTCATTTTCATGGTTCATTGGTCAATGTTTAGTTTACTTGGTTAATGTTAAGTTTATGTGACAGTTGTAATAAAGCTTTATATTTAGGACTATCAACATAATATCAATGATTAGTAAAGAAGGCGAGACATTTCAGTGTGTGCACTCTTGTTTTTTTATGCTGAATTTAACCTTGCTAACAATGCATTTATGTATTGGATATTGGACAATAAAAGGAAAATGTTCAATTTCAATTTTTCATGTTCTTAGACAACAAAAAGCCCTTTGTTTGTATTTTTCAGAGAAGAAGACCAATAAGATATGTGATCCCTCCAAGTCTGAGTGTGGAGACCATGAGGAATGTTATGTACCCAGTAATCTCAGTCCACATCTTGGCATCTGTGTGTGTAATAAAGGGTACGAGAAAAATGACAAAGGCGTCTGTTCTTCTGTCATTCCTAGTAAGTTTTTATATACAGTTTTTAAGAATATTTGAAAATGTTGTAATAATTTGATATAATCAGAATTGCTTGAAATGTGTTGTGTTCAGGTTTGTTGTGAATTAACAATAATTAAAATTCCTTTCTTGTCTTCGTGGTTGTAATTGATGTGATTTGTTGTAACTATATGTGGTGGGAAAATTTAATTTTATATGAAAGACTTTTCCAGAAATTATCAGTTGTTTGACTTAAACATTGAAATTAATTGTTCAAATTAATTTGTTATAATGTCTTTAAAAAATGTAAGTCTTGCAAAAATTGGTTCGTAAGTCTTGCAAAAATTGGATTCACACATTTTTGTCTCGCCTTGAAAAGCGATACATAGGTATGCTGTTTCTTGCGGCGGCATCAACGAAGTATTAGTTTGTGATTAGGTCTAGTTCATGGTGAACCACTAGTGGTAGGTCAATGATATTTGGTATGCAGTTGTATTAGCATTGGCACATCTCATTACCATGGAGATTATTTGGCCCTGCCCCCTCAGTCAAGGTCTATTGACTTTGAAACTTTTCATAGTTTACATGTATTAGTTTGTGATTAGGTCAATTTATGGGGAACCACTAGTGGTAGGTCAATGATATTTGGTATGCAGTTGTATAAGCATTGGCATATCTCATTTCCATGGAGATTATTTGGCTCTGCCCCCTTAGTCATGGTCTATAGACTTTGAAAATTTTGCTAAGTTAACATGTATTAGTTTGTGATTAGGTCAGTTCAAGGGGAACCATTAGTGGTAAGCCAATGTTAATTGGTGTTCAGTTGTATAAGCATTAGCACATCTCATTTCCATGGAGAATATTTGGCCCCGCCCCCTCAGTCATGGTCTATTGACTTTGAAACTATTGCTTAGTTTACATGTATTAGTTTGTGATTAGATCAGTTTAAGATGAACTGCTAATGTTAAGTCAATGATATTTGGTATGCAAATGTATTTGCATTTGCAAGTATCATTTCTATGGAGATTATATAGCCCCACCCCTGATCATGGTTCATTGACTTTGAAACTTTTACATAGTTTACAAGTTAATGTTTGTGATTAGGTTTGTTTAAAGGGAACGACTTATAATAAGTCAATGGTATTTGGTATGCAGTTGTATTAGCATTGGCACATCTCATTCCATGGAGATTGTTTAGCGATGTACCTTCAGTCATGGTTCATCGACTTTGAATATTTGCATAACTTACATGTTAAAGTATTGCTATTTTAATTTCAACATTTGCATTATCAAAATTACAAAAAGGCGAGACATATCTCTGTGATAACAGTTTATTTATTCTTATTTCTGGAAAAGCCTTAATCTAACTATAGGTTTACCTCAGGTTTTATTTTTTTAGTTCATAGTTTTAAAAAGTAGAATGCTATATTTGCATGAAAAGATTATTTCTTGGAATGCATCTGTACAGGAGTTTGCTGAAGTCTTGATTTAGAATTTGCATGTGTTAACTTTTTAAGAACCTTACCCATAAACAAATTATTTCAAAATTATTCGTTAGATAAAATCAAAGAGTAGATCATCTTTTGGTTATTTGTGTTGGGATAATTGTCTAATTAGTAAATGATTAGGTTTATAGTTTCACCTGTGATGGCATAATACTGTTTATTGTGATTTTAAAATGTTTTTGGCTATTCGCTAAAATATTCAACTGGTATGGTTGATACTAGAATTAATAATGTTACTTTCATTTGGGGATGTCATATGTCGAATGAGATGAATCTTAAAATTTGGGCAAAACTTAAGACAGATAATTATACTGTAAATCAAGAAATTTTCATGAGTGATTTTATTGCATGACTTTCACAAGAAAATTAAAGCAGATATAAATTGTCAGAAACATGTCAAAGGCAGACCTTCTTTTTAAAAAAAAAAGAAAATTGTGAAAATAAATCTCCATGGAGCCAGCTAGAAAAGTCTGAATGTCTAAAAAAGTCAATCCTCGAAATGAAAATCAGTTGGTTTACAGTTCTACAAATTAAAGTGCCTGTTATTTACTGATAAGCAGATAAGGCTATAACACAATATTCAGTTTATTTTGCATGGCTTTTTAAGCTACCTTCCCTAACCAAACCATTTCAGCATCATCACCTGTGCATAACCATCACAAGTCAAAAGTACATCATTGTGAATATGGACTTCATCACCAATGTGACCATCACCAAGAGTGCTATATCCCTAAGCACTCACACAGTAGAACTGGTATCTGTAGGTGTGAAAGTGGGTACCAGTTTGATAGAGATAATAAATGTGTTTCTATAGGTAAATATCAAAAACAGTGTGTAAACAGATTATTAACTTAGCTGTGATCTCTTTCATACACATGTTTTCCTTCTTAGTCTATCTTCTATCATTACAAATGTGTTTCTTTAAGGTAAATATTCTTATTTCCAATATGTTCTGTTGTACATTTGAACTGTTGTGCACATATGTATGTTGTCTAGATAATCACGATTTGGTGTCACGATATCTCAGTAGCATGAGTTCGAATGCCGGCGAGGGAAGAACAAAAAATTTTGCGAAAGCAAATTTACAGATCTAACATTGTTGGGCTAATGTTTAGACGAGTTGTATATACAGAATGTACACAGCCATGTATCACCATCACTGCTGGTGATCCGAAGGATAAATCTGTTGTAGAGTTGTCACTGGTTCAGACGTACTTATAATTACAGATATATATATATTTCTTTAGAAAATAGTATGTTGACCCGTGGATGTCTTTTTGTGTCATTGTGCTGCCCTTTTGTACTCTACATCTTTTTATTTATTTTTTTTGGACATTTAAAATGAAATTTTTTTAGACATATACTAATTTATTTTTTCAATCTTGCACATATGTACACTGTTGGAAAAAAAGCATTAACTATTTTCATAGAAGTTGTTGATTTCTGTTCTTTTTTCAATCCTGCAGGACAATAGATTTTAAGAAGTCTGACATGTTGCTGTTATGATATTTTGTTTTATATAGGTGCTAAATGATCATTTTTGTATTGCTGTACTGTGCTTTTCTGAATTTTGTATGTTCAACCAAAACATATATGAATGGGAGAAAATTTTGTTATATATGTTATATTATGATTTTAAAAATGCTTTTTAGAATATATGCATAATTAAGAATAAATTTATTAAAAAAAGGTAATAAGAATAAATTTTGAATGTAAAAAAGAGGTAAAGAAACTAAAATTTGAATCATAAAAAAAGTTCAAAAAAAAAGAAGATAAAGAAAATGAATTTTGACAATTTCAGTGACAACAAAAGAAGCCAACATACCAAGTCATAGATCAACCTACTGTGAATTTGGCTTACGTAATCAGTGTGATACAAATGAGGAATGCTTTATTCCTGAAACTTCTCATAGTCGTACAGGCTTCTGTGTCTGTATTCGTGGCTATGAACGCAATGAGAATTACACGTGTGTTGATGTTTCATTTGACTTAGGTATACATTGTTTTTAAAAATACCGTTGAAAGTTTATTACTGAAATAGAGTTCAACATGTGATTGTACATTTTGTCATTCATTCTTAGATTGAGCCAATTTCAATTGTTTATAATTGTTTGATGGATGACATTATGATTTTAATTTTATATAGAACCCCTTTTAAATAATTATTGACCAGTTTTAATTTGAAACTTTAAAGCTTTCTGGCTAGAAAATTGACTTTCAAAAAATATATTATAAAGCTTGTTAGTAAATGTTTTCTTGAGAAACTGTTCCTTTTGTGTTTCAATGGGACAGGTTTCATCATGAAGATTAACTGACAACAGGAACTTTTTTAATCTTTCTGTGAAAATGAGTGACAAAGTGTACAATCTACTCATGTTGCTCTTAAATCTTATGCAATATGATATGTAATGCCAATTTTGATTGGATGATATTGACAGTCAGAGTCATGGGCAACAATGTAACACAATAGCAGTTGAAATTTCCAGGATATTTCGATTGTTTTATTTCAAACATTTAACAAATATTGCATTAGAATAGGAGTAACAGTACTGGGATTTGGTGACGACAACTCTCCAAATATACTACAGTTTCCTTTATCAGACAATAAACTATCAATGCTATTTTTACATTGCTTGTAAATACTGTCATCAGTTGTTTGTTAAATAACACGTTATTGCCTGCTTATTTAACAGTTTATTATTATAAGTTCAACTCAGATTCCAACAGAGATCATTCAGATGTTGATTAATTTTTCTTACAAGTGGTCAATTTTAGTTTTAATTGTTGAGGAAGCTATTAAAAAATTTATTAGGAATTTTGGTATGTATAGTTTAGCCTTAAATTTCTAAATTTAAAACAATTTTTCAGTTCGTTATCAATTGAGAGGAAACTGTTGGTAATTAAATAGGTCAGTCATATCATAATTATCTAGAATAGGACTGACTTCTTGCAAGAAAATAGGTTAACAGATGCATGGTTTCTGTTGTAATTTGTTTGAGAAAGTTATAAGATTTATTTTTTATTCACAAGAGATTATTATTATCACTAAATAGAATGAAATAAAATATGAGGTGAAGAGAAAAAAGATACTTTATTAGACAAAAAAAAAAGGATACTGGTTATAAAAAAATTGAGATTGGCATTCAAATTTCAGACAATACAACAGATGCAAGTTTCATACCTGATCATAAACCAACCCAGTGTGAATATGGATTACATGATCAGTGTGAATCAAATGAAGAATGTTTTATCCCTGAAAATTCACATAGTAGAACAGGAATCTGCATCTGTAATGATGGCTTTGAACTTGGGAATAATTACACATGTGTTAATGTTTCGATAGGTATACAAAATTGGTTGCATATATTCATTTAGCCTTTCTTTTTGATTACAAATTATACTAAACAATTTAATATTTAGCCACGTAGATGTAGCATATTTCTTGTAGTTACCTGTATATATAAACTTTAGGCAATGCATAGATACCTTCCAAACCTGATGATTAGTCGGATAGTTTCTCTAATTCTTATCTGATTCATACTTTCCTTGACTGGTTGATTTTTTTTTATGATAAAGGTATATGAATATAAGATGTGGTATGATTTATAATGAAACAACTTTACACCAGAGACCAAATGATGTAAAGTTTGTTTGATCTCTATTCTTCATTGGTCAAAATTCAAATATGAAGGCAAATTTTCTTGCTTTTTCCTCTGAATTTTCAATCATAATGTCACGAAAAAAGGCAACCATGTATTACGATGTCAGAAATGATAAATACATTTTTTTGCAGATCATTGAGAGAGAAATAAGAATAAGTTTACCTACTTGTTGTTTAAAAATCATTACAGAAACATATACTTCCACTGATTCCCGTCCAATCCACTGATTCCCGTGCAATACTATATTTATCAATTCTTGACAGTTAAATTTAAATATTTAATTCTCAGCAAGCCTCAATTTAACTGTCTAGAGTAGAGAAAAATTGGTCACATTCGATGCAGTGGTAGAATCTGTATTACTCATTTCAGATTATTTAGATTTAAATGACATTCTCCCAGGATTTCTTTGGTAGTTAGTTGTTTTATATCTGTTATAATTGCCTTGCTACTGATCATGTTCCCTGATTTGAATACTTTCACTTAAAGGAAAAGCAGTTATTTAAAAGTTTACAAAATTTTCAGGAACCTCTTATTTACTAAACCTTTCATCTCTTCTCAATCATGTCAATGTAAAATGTTCCTTATCAATAGCTTTTCAGGTTTGTGTGTAAAAAGTACAATTTTGACAGCTGTATTATTTCCAGACCATAGTAAAACACATTATTTATGTTATCCTTCTAATAGATTGTATTTATGCCTTAGCATGTGCTTGGTGGTGGAATATTCTGATTTAACATGTCTTATCATATTCATAAACATAATATTACATAATCATGGTGACTGATGAATTTTATTTGTTTATTTTATAAGATAATCCTATTGTAATTTTGTTTTGTAAACTTGAGCTAATTTAGTGTTTTTTAAGAAAGGAAATACTTAAAGTTTATAAGGTAATTTAGACAATAAAACAAATAATTAAGATAATGAATGCTCCTCTTCCATCCTGCAATTTCTGTCCAAAAGGGCTGTTAACATGGTTAAGTTTTAGGTAACCATTAATGTTTTAACTCATTGTTTTCAGGTGATTTAGATATCACAGCCTCCAAGAGGGTAAGTGTAATCTAATTATATGTTAATCATTGATAGTTATATTAATGGCATATTGTCTATGGTTCCCACAGTGTAGCAATTTGTGATTTGAGCTTAAGTTATTGCTGTATCAGAACGAATAGCTATATATTTGTGATTTAGACTGTATAGCAATTTGTGATTTCAACTATAAATATTGGGGTATTTTAACTGTATAGCTATTTTTGAATCAAACTGGATAGCCATTTGGGATTCCAACATTAGCTATTCTTTAATCAGTTTGTGTAGCTCTTTGTGATTCCGATTACATTGTATTTAGTTTTGTTTGAGACTGTATAGCCATTTGTGATTTTAACTTAAGCTATTTGTGAATCAGACTGTTTTAGCTATTTTTGAATCCGACTGTATAGCTTTTTATTATTCTAATTATAGCTATTTTATTATCACACTGTATAGCTATTTGTGATTCTGACTGTTTAGTTGTGATTTAAACTGTATGTCCATTTGGTATTCAGACAAGCTGTTGAAATCTCATGTATCTTAGGTCTTTTATCTGTACATGTAGTTGAGGACTTTTATAATTTAAGTAGTTTGTCTGTATATAAAGTTATATTTACATGGATCTGTTATTTCTATTTCAGAATAAATCTGCAAATTCTCCAACAACTACTACCACTACTGCACCAACCACTACTATAAAAGGTAAGACATTTCATTTTTGTATGTCGCTATTTATGGTCTTTCAAAAAATCATTGGTTAATCGCTTTTATGCCCACTGGGGCATTGTATTTTCCGATCTGTGCATCTGATCGTTTGTCTGTCCATCCCATATCAGGTTTACATAGGTCACACCCTCTTGAAACTTAGTATACAAGTTTATTTTGATATGAACCTTTAAGATTATATGCATGCCAAAATTATTATTTTGACCCAGATTTCAAAGAAAACTGAGCATGGAATTGTGATAGTGTGAGCAGAGCATTGTGTTTAATGGACACAAATTCTTGTTTAAGTCAAAGTTTCAGTTTTCGCACTTAAAAATTCAGTGGAAGATAAGCATTTTATCGAATTTTAGAATTTAGAGTCTATATTAACTTTAAAATCAACAGCTCAGGTGACCTATACATTTAATAAGTTATAAGAAGATTAACAGGTTAAAAAGATGTAGATTTTGTGTCAAGAAGGTTCCCATTATGCAGACACAAAACGTCTTTAATTGTATATATAGTACATTAGGAACATTAAGAACATTCACAGCATTACAACTAGAAAATCCCTTCCAATTTAAGGTAACAAAGTCACCCAGTCCAGTAGTCAGCACTTTTGTGTTGATGTGAATTATCATTGATATGGTCATATGTATAAATTAACTGTTTACAAAACTTTTGATGTGGTTCATAAGTGTTCCTCGTTTCACGTTTTTTATATAGATTAGACTATTGGTTTTCCTGTTTGAATGGTTTTACACTAGTCATTTTTTGGGGCCCTTTATAGCTTGCTGTTAGGTGTGAGCCAAGGCTCCATGTTGGATGCCATACTTTGACCTATAATGGTTTACTTTTACAAATTGTGAGAAGGAGAGTTGTCTCATTGGCACTCATACCACATCTTCTTATATCTATTTGAATTGTTCAAATCATTCAAGATTTTCTACCCCAGCTGTATTTGTCAAAACATTTCGAAATTTTTGATTCTCAATACTCTTCAATTTTGTACTTTATTTGGCCTTTTAACTTTTTAAATTTAAGCATCACTGATTAGTCTTTTGGAGACAAAACATGTGTCTGGTGTACATAATTATCAGCCTGGAGTCTTTGATGAGTTATTTTAGTATGCTTTCAAATGTTAATTTGATACTACTCTTCATTTAATTGCACTTTCAGTTACACCACTAACAGTATCTGCAGGAGAAAATAAAGTTATCCAGCTACCTATCAACGAAGTCACATTAAATGCTTACGTCATCAGTAAAGATGGGGAAGGTAAGGGGAGATAATCATCATGGACAAGTAGTATTAAAAAGTAACATAAACAAACCAACAAATAAAGGGGGAGAAGACCAAGAGGGAGTGGGGGATGGGAGGGTTGGGCTAAGTAGTATTAAAAAGTAACATATACAAACCAACAAAAAAAGGGGGAGAAGATACCAAGAGGGAGTGGGGGATGGGAGGGTTGGGCTAAGTAGTATTAAAAAGTAACACATACAAACCAACAAATAAAGGGGGAGAAGACCAAGAGGGAGTGGGGGATGGGAGGGTTGGGCTAAGTAGTATTAAAAAGTAACACATACAAACTAACAAATAAAGAGGGAGAAGACCAAGAGGGAGTGGGGGATGGGAGGGTTGGGCTAAGTAGTATTAAAAAGTAACATATACAAACCAACAAATAAAGGGGGAGAAGACCAAGAGGGAGTGGGGGATGGGAGGGTTGGGCTAAGTAGTATTAAAAAGTAACATATACAAACCAACAAAAAAAGAGGGAGAAGACCAAGAAGGAGTGGTGGATGGGAGGGTTGGACTAAGTAGTATTAAAAAGTAAAATATACAAACCAACAAATAAAGGGGAGAAGACCAAGAGGGATTGGGGGATGGGAGGGTTGAGCTAAGTAGTATTAAAAAGTAACACATACAAACCAACAAATAAAGGGGGAGAAGACCAAGAAGGAGTGGGGGATGGGAGGGTTGGGCTAAGTAGTATTAAAAAGTAACATATACAAACCAACAAATAAAGGGGGAGAATACCAAGAAGGAGTTGGGGATGGGAGGGTTGGGCTAAGTAGTATTAAAAAGTAACATATGAAAACCAACAAAAAAAGGGGGAGAAGATACCAAGAGGGAGTGGGGGATGGGAGGGTTGTGCTAAGTAGTATTAAAAAGTAACATATACAAACCAACAAATAAAGGGGGAGAAGATACCAAGAGGGAGTGGAGGATGGGAGGGTTGGGCTAAGTGTATTAAAAAGTAACACATACAAACCAACAAATAAAGGGGGAGAAGATACCAAGAGGGAGTGGGGGATGGGAGGGTTGAACTAAGTAGTATTAAAAAGTAACATATACAAACCAACAAATAAAGGGGGAGAAGACCAAGAGGGAGTGGGGGATGGGAGGGTTGGGCTAAGTAGTATTAAAAAGTAACATATACAAACCAACAAATAAAGGGGGAGAAGACCAAGAGGGAGTGGGGGATGGGAGGGTTGGGCTAAGTAGTATTAAAAAGTAACATATACAAACCAACAAATAAAGGGGGAGAAGACCAAGAGGGAGTGGGGGATGGGAGGGTTGGGCTAAGTAGTATTAAAAAGTAACATATACAAACCAACAAATAAAGGGGAGAAGACCAAGAGGGAGTGGGGGGTGGGAGGGTTGGGCTAAGTAGTATTAAAAAGTAACACATACAAACCAACAAATAAAGGGGGAGAAGACCAAGAGGGAGTGGGGGATGGGAGGGTTGGGCTAAGTAGTATTAAAAAGTAACATATACAAACCAACAAATAAAGGGGGAGAAGATACCAATAGGGAGTGGGGGATGGGAGGGTTGAGCTAATCGAACGCCATAAGTTAAAAGAAAAAAAACACAATGGCAGAAATATGAAAATCAGATAAACTGATAAACAACAGTCCACAAAACACTTGCACAGAGAAGTGAATATTTAGTAACGCAATCTCTATCAAAATCTATGGTGAAATCTATTGCCTGTTAAGTGTCAGCAGTAAATATTGAACTCTATTCCAATCATAAAGAGAGACAAGAAGCTTAATATAATGTATTGTTTAGATAGCCTGAATATATAGGTTTATGTATGGTTTATATATATGGTTTACATTTTTGGGGTACTTAAATTTCACCTTACATAATGATACATGTCATAAAAGTAAAGCAAAGATGAAAAACCTCACAGGAAAACTACATTGAACAGGAGACCACACATGGACAAGTTAACAAAAAGAGACTTGATCAAGGAAAAATTAAATCACAAACAAAAAGCATTGAAACAAATGACATGGAACTCTTGAACATGTTGAAAATGGTTAGGAAAAAATACAATTATCACTTAAGATTAAAACATAAGAACTATAAAACCAAATCAGAATTTTTTTTCTTCAAATTACTTCATTTGTTATTGTTTGAAATTTAACACTTATCATGCTTATATATCATATGCGTATGGTCCTAATATATGTCCGGAACAAAATGTCAGCTTGATTAATTTATTTTGTGGCTACTAATTTTCATATATTGAAATATATTTTTTCATGGAAGCTTGATTTTATAGTTCTGTTTACAAGCCTATAGAAAAGTGTGTTTTTTGTTGAAAATTTAAATTTGTGAATAATCTTTACCCATGAAATCTGCATAAAAAATAGCAATATTAAAGAATCTACATTAATAATAAAACAAAAGCCAAAAATAGAATAAAAAGCTCATTAATCCATATATTTGTAGAGAAAAAGTTTGATTATGAGTGGTCTATCACATCAATGCCTGATGGAGCAGAAATCGGTACAATGGTTGGAAAAAACACAGACACACTCAAATTGTCAAAGGTATTTTAAATACGTTTTTATTTATCAAAGTTCTGCAATACATGATATTGATAGGAAAAATACTGATATATTCAACTTTTATTGTCTCGAACTTAGTTGACTTGAAAAATCTGCATGAGTGGAAACATATCTTCAATCCCAATGTTGAAGCCCATTAATACTACAATTGAGTTAAATTTTGAAGATTGATTTGACTTAACAGGGTCCGACACTTACGGTTGTCCGATTGCCCGGGGCAAGCTAATGCCGTATTCGGACAAGTAAAAACATCATCTTGGTTGTCCGATCGGGCAAGTGAAAAAAAAAGTGTTATATGATTAAAATTTCACAAAATCAATAGTGTCTGTTGTTTTGTCCATAGATTACTCAGTGATAACACCGCACGGTCGAGTAAAGTGGTCTTAACCCCCCTTCAATGCGTATATTTCGTCAATTGTTCGCACTGAATTCCCCATTTTACCAAAAATAGATCACGTTTAAAAATATTGGCCAATCAGGCGGCCGCGGCGTTGCTTCGTCATTATCGTTATCCATCGGGACACCACTCTGGCGTTTCCGAAGCACGTGTTATTCCCACCGACCAATGGAAAGCGGAGGTCTATTTTCGTTGTTCTAACTTTATAATTTGTCATCGGATGTGTATTTCCCTAAGATGGAAAAACGTAAAAGCTTGAAAGAGAAAATGAAATTAAACTTTAACAAATTTGTCAGTTGTTGTCAGTTTATCAAGAAGGGTTATTTGAAATGGCATTTCTTAGATAAATTATTATGAAATAAGTATCTCTATGTAAATGATCCAATTCCCGTATATTCATCGATCTTTTCCCTCCCTCCTCGGCTCATATATGCCTCATAGTATATTTTCATACTCCATAATCAATTTACACCCCATATACATGATAACTATATTTTATCTGCATGTACTACATTACAACCACAAAAATAGCATGTAAAAGTTTGGGCATGTAGATTTCACTTTCGGACAAGTAAAAGTAATAGGGCACTTGCCCAACTGGACAAGTTGGTATAAAAGTTAATGTCGAACCCTGCTTAAACTTAATCTTACGTTTAAAAAGTGTAATAAACCAGGTGAGTCTATTCACATTTGTCAAAAATTGCTGCGAATATTGTAAATGTCTTTATCAAGCTCATTGGCAACTTACCTTTAAATTAATCTGTCAGTCATTAATTTCATTTATATAACAATAAGATGGTTAGACGTGTTTAAATCTTCCAATTGGATGCTCAATTAGATTGTTAGAATCAAAGTGATTGTCCTAATATTCATTCCATAAAAGTGTTGATGAAAGGTCATATGCATAATATTACCCTTTGGTTGGTATAAATCAAGGATTGTTCAATCAAACCTGCTACATCATATTTTCCTTCCATACCAGATTAGGTGTATAAATGCTATAAATTAAAGCATCGTTTTAACATGCCTTCAGCTTTTCTATTTAATTTGATAAAAGATCATTTAATATTGATTGTAATTTACTTATTTTCAGTTAATAGAAGGGCTGTACACATTTACACTCCATGTTAAAGGGCCCCACCAATCAGGAGAAGCCTATGTTAACGTTACAGTATTAAAAGGTAATATACAGTTGGGAAAGGAGGTTGTTATTAATAGTGATATTAATGTTAAAGGACCACACCAGTCTGGATAGCATATGTTAACTTCTTAGTATTAAAATGTAATATTATACATCAGGGAAATGGTAGGTTGTTATGAGCAGTGATATTCATGTTAAAGGACCACACCAGTCTGGATAGCCTATGTTAACTTCTAAGTATTAAAAATGTAATATTATACATGAGGGAAATGGTAGGTTGTTATGAGCAGTGATATTAATGTTAAAGGACCACACCAGTCTGGATAGCATATGTTAACTTCTTAGTATTAAAATGTAATATTATACATCAGGGAAATGGTAGGTTGTTATGAGCACTGATATTCATGTTAAAGGACCACACCAGTCTGGATAGCCTATGTTAACTTCTAAGTATTAAAATGTAATATTATACATCAGGGAAATGGTAGGTTGTTATGAGCAGTGATATTCATGTTAAAGGACCACACCAGTCTGGATAGCCTATGTTAACTTCTAAGTATTAAAATGTAATATACAGCAGGGAAATAGTAGGTTGTTGTGAGCAGTGGTATTAATGTTAAAGGACAGTACTAGTCAGGATAGCCTTTATTAATGTCTCAGTATTACCAGATAATTTACAGCAGTTAAGGGCGGGTGGTTATAAGGTAATCATGCTATTGAGAAACCAATCTAGTTAGGAGAAGACTAGGTTAATGTCACGATATAACCCGATAGTGTACAATGCTATCTCATTGATGTTTCCAACATATCTTCTTTTGTTAATTATTCAATTTCAATTTTATTAAATTTTTTAAATGAGTAACTCCATATTTTACATTAAGTAATGGACAGTTTGCTTCTGTACATGTGATTGAAATATAGGGGGAATTTAACTGTAGAAAAAATATTCATAGACTTTAAGAAATAATGCTATATACAAAAGTCTGTATTTGTAATTTATCCTATCCTACTGACTGATAATTTTAAAAACCAAATTAGGTTTTATACAATTTCTTATTTTGTTTCAGCTGCCAGACAAAATACACCACCTGTAGCAGTAATCAAACCAATGAACCAAGAGGTTAAACTCCCTAACTCAGCCATACTTGACGGTTCAGGTATTTCACTGTAACTTATAATATATATATATAATTGATGGATTATGTAGGTTACTGTATTCTAGTCTATGTTATGTAGGTTATTGCATAATAATTCTGATGCCAAATAGAAAACTACACATGAAGCAGTCAACATACCTATGACCAAAGTTTGACCTGAATTCTGCCATTTTTCAACAGCAAATTATTTCTTGAATGAACCTATTTACAATAAAAAATTATTTGATCATTCAGAAGAATGCAGATATTGTATCTTGAGTTTTACCTACAAATACTGTAAATTCAAGAATTTTTGCAATGTTTTTTAATTGCGAAAATAAGACGGAATAGAAATTGCAAAAACAATAACTCACATTCACATTTTTTATTTCTATAGCATTACTTGTATGCAGCATTCTTCAAAAATCACAATAATGAATAGAGTCAAAAATTTCTGAATTTACAGTAAATGATAGTAGGATCATTTGGTATATTTTTTTAATTTCAGATAGTAAAGATGATGATAAAATAGTGAAGTATCACTGGGAGGAGAAAAGTGGTCCATTACAAGGTCAACATCTACAGGATGATACAGCCATGTTGACCTTGAAAGATCTGGCTCCAGGAGTTTACATGTTTGAGTAAGTTAGCATGTCAATATGGAAAAACAGTCCTTGTAACCATGACAATTTCCTACTAGAAATTCATGGATAACAGACATTTGTTCAGATTGCAACAGTGGTGTATCTGAAATTAATATAACATTGTATTTAGCAATACTTTACACATTACAAGAAGTTGCTACATTTGGTAAATGACAAATTTAGCCCAAAGTCACTTCAGGGGACCCTTTACTTTAGAGTAAGGATAAGGGTTAGTTAGGGTTAGGTTTCAGATATGTAAGGGTTAGATATAGGTTAGAGTAAGGTATAGGGTTAGTTTAATATAGCCCTATATTGCCAATAACATACCTGCCAACCTCTAAAACCTTCAAAGAGGGAGATTTTGCGCAAACGAAATTTTCAATTTAAATATGTGACTTGTTTATTTATTCATCTACAAAACACCAATAAGAGTTAAAAGATATACTTTATTTCTTCAATTCATGGTTATAATCTATACAAGGTGTTTTTTTTTTTTTTTTTTTTTTTTTTTTTGCCTTTTTCAATCCCCTGAGTCTCATAACTCATAACATTCCATATTTTGATTTTGTTGTGAGACCCACACTAAGCATGCTTTCAAACGTGGTACAGACCACCAGAAGAAACCGAAAAGTTGATTAAACATGATGTGCAAAATGAAGATTCATTGCCAAGTGTCGGTGAACTTTGTCTTATAAATAAAAAATCTTTTATTCAGTCTGCTTGACATTTCGATTTGCAGTTATCTATTTCTTCTTTTTTACACTGCCGATTGGTCCAGACAAAGACCTCTATCTTGTTGGAGTTGACATAGCAGAAATGAATTTCTATTACTTATAAATCGAACATGAAAACTACTGACCAAAGTTTTCAAATGATCGCCGACAGTTTATTTATTTCTATTGACAGTAATGAAAAAGCCAGAGAATTACAAACGAGGGTCATTCTGGGTTAAAATATCTGAAAGCGGGAGATTCTATAATCCCTTGCAGGAGCTGAAGGGCAAGCGGGAGATTTCTGGAATTTCGCTGTTTGAGCGGGAGTCTCCCGCTCTAAACAGGAGGGTTGGCAGGTATGCAATAATGGATTTGGTCTCCTTATGATAATAAAGGCCAAACAATGGATAATTGGCAAATCTGAATACTTTTTTATAGGTCACTGAAACCACACAATATGCTTAGATACAAAATGATTGATTTAATTTCAGACTAACAGTTACAGATTCAGATGGTGCCAGCAACTCTACAGTAGCAAATGTAACAGTGATTAAAGGTAATACAAATTTGATGATGTGAAGTCAGTTTCAGAAATTTTTGTATGAAAGGGTTGGTTGGTGGTCAAGAGGTAAATTATACCTCACCTAGGGGCATCATGTTTTTTCGGTCTGTGTGTCCGTTCTTTCGTCTGTCCGTCTGTCCCGCTTCAGGTTAAAGTTTTTGGTCAAGTTAGGTTAAAGTTTTTGGTCATGGTAGTTTTTGCTGTCCAATCAACTTGAAACTTAGTACACATGTTCCCTGTGCTATGATCTTTCTAATTTTAATGCCAAATTAGAGTTTTGACCCCAATTTCACGGTCCACTGAACATAGAAAATGATAGTGCTAGTGGGGCATCCGTGTACTATGGACACATTCTTGTTAGATAATTTGTTGGTGGTTGTACTTTTCCAGAGTAATATTAAAGAATTATTTTATCTTTTATAAATTTTATATTGTGAATAGTTGGATTTAATAAAAATGATTATACACATTCAATTAGGGAGATGGTGGTTATATATCAATGAGACGGCAACCAAACAACCCTTAATACCATGCCACAAGCTACCTTCAGGTGATAGTTTTTTTCCAATTATATATTTATGTTTGAAATGTTGACTTAATATACACATCTACTCCATAATTTGCAACCGCCTCAGTGGTCTCATAGTGCAACAATTTATTATTTTATTTTGTAATTCGTTGGATATTTACTGATATTTTTTCTTCAAGTTTAATATCAGTAAAGAATTTTGAGTTATAATGCAATGCAGCATTTACTAAAACCACTTCCATAATAAAAAGTCAATCTTTACATATTGATAAACTCTGGTTTCATTTTTATTTCGGGAGATACCAATTTTTGTGGATTTCGTGGTTAAAGGCTATCCATGAATTTAAATGTTCAAAGAAGTACAAAGTTTATGTAGGCTTGTATACAGACTCCAGCAAAACTCTAAAATCAAATGTTCACCAAAATATGATTTTTCCTCAATCCACGAAATATAACATCAACGAAAATAAATGAATCCACAGTAATACAAACAATATTTTGATGTTAGATTACATTTGTAAATCTGTTTCTCTTTGTTCCAACAGAGACGGATTATCCACCCAAAGCTAATGCAGGATCTGATGTAGTTATCCATCTTCCACAGAACTCAGTTATACTTAACGGAAACCTCAGTACAGATGATAAAGGCATAGCAGAGTATGAATGGATAAAGGCAGCTGATGACAAACTGACAGCTGACATGACGGTAAGTCTTATACATATAACACATCACATATATATATATATTTATTAGGAAAGGCAATGAGTACTGGCTTAGAAGATTGAGTACTTCAGTGCAAATTCACTACTCAGATACTTGAATAAAGTATTTCTTTAAATCTCCCCCAGAGTTTAAATCGTTTGAAAGTTTTTATTTTTGTAATATGAAATATGTTCACTGTTAAAGGTAAATTAAAGGTAATGTAAAAAATTTGCAGCCAAATTTCAGTTGAACTGAACTGCAAGATCTTTGAGTGTAAAATCTAAGCTACATAGCATGAAATCAGATTAAAAAAATCTACACTTTTAGAATTGAGGATTAAAATATTTTGGTGAAAAAGTGAATTACAAATTAGTGGACATTATATTTCAGGGTGTGCGGTCAGAGTTTTTACATTTATCTAACTTACAAGAAGGTGACTATACCTTTACATTAAAAGTGACAGATGCAGCAGGGCAGACATCATCGGCAGAAGTACATGTGTTTGTCAAACCAGGTAAGTTAAAGAAATTAAACAACAAATTACGCTGTTGTAATATGAAAGGGATAACAAGCAAGAATTTTGCAGAACATGAGGTATATTTTTATACATGTACCTTCCAACTTAGACTGAGATTAAAACTTTAAAAAAAAATATTTTAACCCCTGGTCCCAAATGCAACATCATGATTTTGTAAAAAAATCTACATGAAAAATTTGTCATTTTCCAAATTTGTACTTTTCTGAAAGGAGAAAATTTTGACAGGGAAAATTAGCTAATCAAAATTTGTTTTTCGTATGATAAAACTTTCATCTGCTAATTTATGACAGCATTGTAAACAATTAAGTTTTGAAGTGTGTTTTGAATTAAGAGTTGTTTACTTCACCTATGTGTAACAGTTTTAAAAATGATGGTATTGGTATGAATTATCACTAGTAAAATGGTTATTACGCTGTCTAATAAGAAAAAGCAATTTTTTTAGGGTCAATACATAGAAACATGGGAGACAAAAATATTGATGTGCAATTTAAATACTGGGTTGACAAAATTAAATCTATGGATATCACATGACTTCTGCAGTCTGTAATAATGACCAGAATAACATTTTAAAGCAGCACTCTTCTCCATTAGGAATCACTATGGCTCAAAACACTTCCAAGATTGCCAGTAATTTATCTACTGACCAAGATTGTAAATGAATAATCTCAACAGTAAAAAAAGATACAAACACCTGAGGTTATCTCCCCTTAGTTTTAATATTATATTGATATATGTAGGTCTTTTACTAAAAGCTATAAATGCTTTTTATTCACATGTATGTTTGTTTATATGCCTGGCCTACAACAGAAGGCGAGCACTATGTCTTATATAATATTATTTCAAATGTAATTAATCCACTAGATACCAGTGCTATTTGTACAAGACAATTTATATCCCTTAGTTTTGTTAATATTTTAGATGTGAATCATCCTCCCAAAGCCGATGCTGGTGGAACAAAGACTGTTTATCTCCCCTTGGATGGTATTGTCCTAGATGCTTCCAACAGCACAGACGACAAAGGAATCACTCATTATAACTGGGAACAAATCCGGTAAGTATTTCTTCTTTGATCTAACAAGTGGTAGGTATGTTTGACTACAGTCATGGTCGACTAGTTTTCCTGACAATGGTCATAGTTCTCTCCTGGTATTCCAGCTTTCCTCCACCAATCAAAAATGACTGCCATGATATAACCAATAGTGCTAAAAGTGGCATTTAACACCAACTATCAGTAAATTATACAAGTTCTGTCTAGAATGACCTAAGACTAGCAGTTGTGTCTTGGGAAGTGGATGGTTTATTATTGTCGAGACTGTGACTTCTGTCGCAAAAGCGAGACATAGCGATCCTACATTCCGTCGGAATCGGCGGCGTCCACAAATATCACTTTGTGGTTAAAGTTTTTGTCTCGCCTTGACGGAGTCAAAAAGCGAGACATAGGTATGCTGTTTCCAGCATCGGCAGCGGCAGCATCAACAATGTATTAGTTTGTGATTACTGTGGATTCATTATTATTCGTTGGATACCAATTTTCGTGGATTTCGTGGGTACAGGTGAACCACGAAATTAGATGTTCAACGAATAACAAATTTTTTATAGGCTTGTTTGCAGACTTCGGCAAAACCACGAAATTAAATATCCACGGACATGTGAGTTTTCCTCAATCCACGAAAATTAGTACCCACGAAAATAAATGAATCCACAGTAGGTCTAGTTCATGGTGAACCACTAGTGGTAGGTCAATGATATTTGGTATGCAGTTGTATTAGCATTGGCACATCTCATTACCATGGAGATTATTTGGCCCTGCCCCCTCAGTCAAGGTCTATTGACTTTGAAACTTTTCATAGTTTACATGTATTAGTTAGTGATTAGGTCAATTTATGGGGAACCACTAGTGGAAGGTCAATGATATTTGGTATGCAGTTGTATAAGCATTGGCATATCTCATTTCCATGGAGATTATTTGGCTCTGCCCCCTTAGTCATGGTCTATAGACTTTGAAAATTTTGCTAAGTTTACATGTAATAGTTTGTGATTAGGTCAGTTCAAGGGGAACCATTAGTGGTAGGCCAATGTTAATTGGTGTTCAGTTCTATAAGCATTAGCACATCTCATTTCCATTGAGAATATTTAGCCCCACCCCCTCAGTCATGGTCTATTTACTTTGAAACTTTTGCTTAGTTTACATGTATTAGTTTGTGATTAGATCAGTTTAAGATGAACTGCTAATGTTAAGTCACTGATATTTGGTATGCAAATTTATTGGCATTTGCAAGTATTGTTTCCATGGAGATTATATAGCCCCACCCCTGATCATGGTTCATTGACTTTGAAACTTTTACATGGTTTACAAGTTAAGCAGTTGTGTTAGCATTGGCACATCTCATTCCATGGAGATTGTTAAGTGATGTACCTTCAGTCATGGTTCATTGACTTTGATTATTTGCATAACTTATGTAACATGTTAAAGTATTGCTATTTTAATTTCAACATTTGCATTTTCAAAATTACAAAAAGGCGAGACATATCTCTGTGATAACAGTTTATTCAAATTTTAATAACTTTCTTAAACTTTTCTGGGTTTGTACCAAACTTGGACAGAAGCTTGTTTATGATCATAAGATAGTATCCAGAAGTAAATTTTGTAAAAAAAAATCCTGTTTATCCGTATTTTACTCATATATGGACTTAGTTTTTCTGCCAGTTAACATTACATTCACTCTGTGGATAAAGTTTTTCAAATTTTAATAACTTTCTTAAACTATCCTGGATTTGTACCATTCTTGGACAGAAGCTTGTTTATGATCATAAGATAGTATTCAAAAGTAAATTTTGTTAAAAAAAATAATCCTGTTTATCCGTATTTTACTTATAAATGGACATAGTTTTTCTGCCAGTTAACATTACATTCACTCTGTGGTTAAAGTTTTTCAAATTTTAATAACTTTCTTAAACTATCCTGGATTTGTACCAAACTTGGACAGAAGCTTGTTTATGATCAAAAGCTAGTATCTAGAAGGAAATTTTGTAAGAAAAAATTTCCTGTTTTTCTGTATATAACTTGTAAATGGACTTAGTTTTTCTTCCAGTTAACATTACATACAGTCTGCAGTTAAAGTTTTTAAAACATTTATTAGATTCATAAACCATCCTGGATTCTTACCAAACTTGAACAGAAGCTTCTTACATTCAAAAGATAGTATCTTGAGGAAATTTTTTAATAATTATTTCCCCATTTTTGTTGAGCCTGTGACTAACAGCAAAAGTAGGCGAGACACTGGGTTTCCGCAGAACCCTTACGAATTTTTAAACTTGGTCCTCAACAGAACTGGCATTGATGGAAGATCTTTTAACAAATATCACTTGGCATAATTATGAAAAAAAAAACAGAAAATAAAATTTTAATAAAAATAATCAAACAAAAATTGAAAATCCTTGCATTGTTATAAGTCAGTATTTTTCTTATTACATATACTTTGTAGTGGAGTCGCAGGAAGTAGATTAGACATAAAAGACCCAAAATCAGCTGTAACCAAGGCAACAGGGACTGTAAAAGTTGGAAAATATATATTTGTATTGACTGTGAAAGACATTGAAGGAACAAGTTCTGTAATCAACCATATAGTAAATGTGAAGGAACGTGAGTACAAAAATATTTTCAGTAAATTAAAAAAACTTACATGTTTCATTTCCTTTTTTCATCCAAAACATGGAAGAAAAAATGTCACTTGACAATGTGTTTATGCTCTTCCCATATGTTTTTACAATAACAGTACAGTCAAACCTGTTTTAAGGACCACTCACAGTCGTTTTTTAAAAATAAACACCTATGGCAGTTTTCACAATAATAAAAACATCTCTAATATTTTTGAAATTACAGTAAAGTGCCAAAACAATCTGATAATTTGAGGACACAGGAATAAACAACATGGAGGCATCACACATGAAATTTTCTACTTTTATGTATGAACCTTTGTTCATAAAACGTAATTTAATAGGTCCAAATGGCCATTGCTTGTTGTACTCGTTTACACTTCAAATTATTGTACTTATTGTAGATCCTAATTATTGTACTTATTGTAGATCCTAACTCTAAACCGGTGGCTAATGCAGGAGAGGATCAGATCTTAATGTTGCCGATTGATATTGTAAAACTAGACGGGTCCAAATCATCTGATGATAAAGGAATTGTTAAGTACAGTTGGACCAGGGACCCAACAAGTCTGGCAGCTGGGGTATGTAAAACATGTGGTAAATTTTTCAATGGAAATATTGAAAAACAAGAAATTAAAGCGGTTTCGATGGAAATCTTTCAATCAGAATAACAATGATTTCATTGCATCAAACTTGCTAGATAGATTTTACTTTCGAACTTTAGTTGAATTATATAATTGTTTTAAATGAAAGGAACTTTCAATCAAAGAAACCTAAACACAAACCCTGAAGTTCTGCTGTAGTTCTACTGAAACATTTAATTTTGGTATTTCCATTTTATTTCCTTTTTTGCCCTTTTTTTAAAGAATTCTTGAAATAGTTCAGACGTAAAGTGATCTGATTTTCTATTTTCATTTTGTATTATTTATTTTACCTAACAGGATCCTTTAAATGGTTCAGATCACAAGGCAGTATTACAGTTAGTTAATATGGTGTCAGGACGTTACACGTTCAAGTTGACTGTTTTAGATGCAGAGGGTCTGTCCTCCAGTGATTCTGCATCTGTTCTCATCAGAGATGGTAAGTATGCTACCAATTTTCTGTGGATTCATTGTTTCTCATGGTGTACTAATTAGTCCCCTACCGACGAAGTCGATGAGGACTTTAGGTTTGCACTCCGTCCGTCTGTCCATCCGTCAGTCCAGCAAATCAGTTTTCCACACTTTTTGTCTTCATGCTTGAAGATATTGATTTGATATTTGGTGTATTGTTTTATCGTGACCAATTACAGATCAAATTCGAATTTTGTTCCGGTCTGATGATTTTGTGCAGAGTTATGGTCCTTTGACTTAGAAAAATCACTAAAATAATCAGTTTTCCACACTTTTTTTCTTCATGCTTGAAGATATTGATTTGATATTTGGTGTATTGTTTGATCATGACAATTTACATATCAAGTTCGAATTTTGTTCCGGTCTGATGATTTTGTGCAGAGTTATGGTCCTTTGACTTAAAAAATTCACTTAAATAATTAGTTTTCAACACTTTTTTCGTCATGCTTGAAGATATTGACTTGATATTTGTTATATAGTTTACACCATGACAAGTTATAGATCAAGTTAGAATTTTGTTCCAATGCAATGAATTTTTAACCGGTAGGGGACTATGTATTGCCATGCAATACTCACAGAATGCTTGTTTGTGTTGATAACAAACTGACAAAGCAAAAAACTTAAAAATGACCAAAAGGCAAACAGAGATATAGCCATTTTAGGTCAAATACTTATTTCAATATGTTTATGATGTCATAGTGACATCACAGGTATCCTTTCTGCACTAAAGTGTCGAGAATTTATAAACCTGTTCATTTATCAATAAAATAAACACAGGTTTTAAAGGCGTGAATAAATTTTCTCTTGTTTCAATTTCAGGGACAAAATAATGGCTCTTTTTATACCTCCTCCCTTTTAGTTTTTCTTGTTTTCTATAATAAAAAACAGCAAACTGTTAAAAAGTATTTACAAAAATACTAATCTCCAAGGTAAATTAAAAAAGGGGCAAGTCCATAAAACCTGACAAAATAAAATGCTCAACTATATATCAACCAATGGAATGAATGGAAAACAGTTGTCATATTCCTGACTTGGTACAGCCATTCTCTAAGGAAAATGGTAGATTAAACCTGGTTTTATAACTAGCTTAACCTCCCAATTATATGGTATTTGTTTACAGTTGTTTTTATTGATGCAATTGGATGAGCAACCCCTACAGACATAATTGGCTAACCTGACAATAATTGGAATCCAGCAGCCAAAACTGTGTAAACATACCTCACAGACATTCAACAAAACTGACTTTAGTAATTATATTCAGTACATTTATCTTTTTAACAGATCCTCATGAAGAAGATATGATAGAATTAGATATAGATACAGATATCAGGCAGTTCACCGAGAAAGATAAAGTAAGTATACGATAAAAGTAGATAAGCACTAAAACTTATATATGATAGAATTTGTGAAAGATATCTGAAAGTAAATACACAATTAAAAATTAAATTTCAAAAAGAGAGGCAGAGGATACCAAAAGAATATTTAAACTTAAGGTGGTACCCAACACCTTGACTAATATTAATTTGGCTCGTTTAATTTTCCTAAAATTTTGACAAAATGTTTACTTTGACCCTTTGACAAAAATATAAAAATTTCAAATAATTTGAACCAACCACTTTATCAGAAAAATTTCACTGGTTATATAGCAGTTTGACAAACACTAGTTTTGATCATTGAGAAGCTTAATATTTCCTTAACAATACAACGTGATTAAAACGTTTAGCTGATTTTTACAGAGTTATCTCCCTGTAGTGTTAGGTACCACCTTAAACAGTCTACAAAACACAACATAGATATACCTAAAGACTAAGCAACACAAACCCCACCAAAAACCGGGGTTGATCTCAGGTGCTCTGGAAGAGTAAGTAGATCCTGCTTCACATGTGAACATTTAGGTTCAGTCTGTGGTTAATATTTTTTTAGTCATCAATAACTTTGTCAAACCTACATGGAATTTTATGAAATTTGGACAGAAGCTTGTTTATGACCAAAATACAGTATCCAGAAAGAGAAAAATTTTCAAAAAATATTTATTTTCATTTTTCTGTATTTTGCTAATAAATGGACTTAGTTTTATTATAGTTAACAAGTAGATACAGTCTGAGGTTAAAGTTTGTTACACTTCAATTTATTTGTCAAACCTTCATAGAGTTTTATGAAACTTTTGCAGAAGCTTTTTAATGATTAAGAGATAATGTCTGAAGCAAACCTTTAAAAACATATTTTTTTTATTTTTAGTAAACATTTACAGACAGCCTGGGATTAAATTTTTTTGACATGATAAATTTGTAAACCTTTATGGATTGTTATGAAACTTGGACAGAAGCTAATCTTCAAGACCAAGAAATAGCATCTTAAGAAAAAGTTTGAATTTTTTTATAAATTCTGTATTCTACTAATAAATGGACTCACTTTTTAAGTCAACATTACACTTTAACACTGACAGCAGCAATTGCAGGCGAGACACAGGGTTCCATGGAACCCCTTACGAATTTATTTATGTATTATATTATGAGGAACTTATCTTTGTGAATAAAACAAATATTTATAACAATTGACAATTTGTTTGAAGTAATTCTTTAATTAGATCCTTTAAGAATGATCTCATCGGTCAATTTTAGTATTAAATCTGACATTAATAAAATCTTCAAACAATTACCATATTAAAGTATTATATGCTGTTTGCTATAAAAAAAAAATATTCAGATAAAGTTCAATTTTCAATTAGTCATTTAAATATTTGTATTGTAGGAAAATCTACAGAGTCAGTTATTGTTAATGTTACCCAAAAAATCTGACAGTGATAAAACGGAGGTAGTTCTGGATCATTTAGAGGAAGAGACGTCAAGTTCATTGTAAGTTCTCCCAACTCTACTGTATCAAAATATCCTAACCTGCTTGTAATAAAATCTGACACTTTTAAAACAGAAGTAGTTCTGGATCATTTAAAGAAGGAGACATCTAGTTTATGTAAGTTCTCCCAACTCTACTGTTTCAAAATCTCCTAACCTTCTTGTAATAAAATCTGACAGTTTAAAAACAGAGGAAGTTGATAATGTTACCAAAAAAATCGGACAGTGTTAAAACAGAGGTAGTTCTGGATCATCCAGAGGGAGATACATCTAGTTCATTGTAAGTTCTCCCAACTGTACTATATTATCAGAATCTCCTAAACTTCTTGTAATAAAATCTGACAGTGTTAAAACAGAGGTAGTTCTGGATCATTTAGAGGGAGAGACATCTAGTTCATTGTAAGTACTTTGAACAATGCTGTATTTAAATCTCCTAACCTTCTTGTATTAAAATCTGACAATGTTAAAACAGAGGTTCTGTAAATTCATAAATTATTGCATGCATTTATTATTGAGATTATTGAAGAACAGTAAAAAAATGTGAGTTTAATTATTGTGATTTCAAGAAAATCTGCATACAGACATATGTATCAGAAAGTTCTTATTATTGTGATACTCACCCAATCGCATTATACCCAATAAAAAAAAACTCACAAAAATTTCTGAATTTACAGTAATTCTGGATCATTTAGAGGGAGAGCGAGAGACATCTAGTTCATTGTAAGTTCTTCCAACTCTACTGTAACAAAATTTCCTAACCTTCTTGTAATAAAATCTGACAGTTTAAAAACAGAGGTAATTCTGGGCTTGTATGGTCATTTTTATTATACTTTTGCATAACTTGGCTTTCAATATGCATTTTGAAATATATGCATAAAAGATATGTTACCAAATAGCATCTATAGGTCACCCTACAGCCTTCAACAATGAGCAAAACCAATACATGTACCTCATAGCAAGCTATAAAAGGCTTTATTTTTGAGATTTTTATTCCTGTGATTAGAATTCTTTATTGCAACATCACTGTAAACAAAATTAGTAAAAATTGGATGTTGAACATTCATAATCAGTCTTCCATTTTTCTTTATCACTCTGGTCAGCTCTTCATAAAGTTGCATGTCTTGGCTTTTTTTATGTCAAATGCTTTGACCTGGCCTTATTAACGTTGAACTAGACTTATCACCAACATTTATATAATGTTTGAAGTGAAGTTTATAAGTTTGACCTTAATTTATCAAGTCCTAGCTTGTTTGAGGATTAAAAAAGAAAATCCATGATTTCTTTTTAGAAAAACATGGAAATACAATGGGGATAATCAATTATCAGATTTTCATCACTTTGGTACTTTAACTAACCAGCTGCTTGACACACTGTGAAGCCTTTTTGATATGTTCACTTTGGTCCCTCAACAAAAGGTTTCATATTATGAAATTGTACCGGTAGTTGATATTTTACAATACAAACATGCATTAAACCTGATAATTGGTACTTATCATGTTAAAAAATTATCTCTCCTGAAATTATCAATTCCCCTTAAGTCTAACATAAAGCCAGCAAAGGTGTTGACGTAGAGTATTACAAGTGTAGCCTCATCTAATTTCATCACATATGGTATATATCTGTGTTTCAGGATGAAGGTGTATTTCCATGTGGAGGATCATGACAGAGATGCTGTAGAAATCAGAAATGGTGCAGAAACTAAAAAGTTATTGAGTGAGAAACTGAGATCTGCTGGCAATCAAATACTCAGCTATCAAGTTATAAATATAGATACAATTAGTAAGTAAAGTAATTGTATGAGTCATGTAGGTGGTCATAATTAAATGTACCAAATATAAAGTGATGAAATAATTAATTATCATCATCAGGAACCCTTTATGCATGTGACAAAATTGTGTAATCCAATTATAAGAACTTAAGAGCTATTTTCCTAATGCTTGTAGATTAAAGGTTTGGTTGGCTTGCTTGCTTTGTTTGTATAAATGTTTGCTCAAGCATTGTAATTAAGATTGACATCTGAAATCAATAGATAGGCGTGGCTTCAACTTGTATACATTATACTCGGCATTGTACTTTTAAACATTCAATAATATTTAAGTATAATGTATACAAGCTGAAGCCCCGCCTATCTTTTGATTTCAAATGTCAATCTTAATTACAATGCTTGAGCAAACATTTATACAAACAAAGCAAGCAAGCCAACCAAACCTTTAAACTACAAGTATTAGGAAAATATCTCTAAGAATTTAAAGGTTTTTTTTTATGTTATAATTTTCATTTATTTCTTTGTGATGGGACACACATGCGAGTTCTTAACTTTAGAAAAAAATTCACCTTATTTAATATTTTCTAATTGTTAGTAGTTTTTAACCACAGTAAATTCTGTTATGTTAATTGACAGGTCCCCATTTGTCAGTCGTTTTGATAATGTATTAAAAAAGTTAATAAAAGCAAATAAATTTATGCAAATCATTTTAATTGAAATACTGTGGATTCATTAAAATTTGTGGTGTACAATTTTTCATGGATTTTTTGGGAATATGTAAACTACTAATTTAAATGTTCAAAGAAGTATACATTTTGTATAGGCTTGTATACAGACTTTAGAAAATTTACGGGAAAAAGTATCCAGGAAATGTTTTTATTTCTTTTTCTCTTTATTACTTTGGATAAAAGTCAATGAAATTTGTAATATTTGTTTTTTCTTTTCTAGTTTGTCAAAACAATTGCTCAGGTCATGGTCACTGTGGTAAAAAGAATAGAAACTGTATCTGTGATGCTTTCTGGATGGAAAATTTCTTAAAAACTTTAATATTACATGATGAAAGCAATTGTGGTATGTATAATCCTCCTTAATGTGGAGCACCTTCTTATCTCACAATAACTTATTTGTCTACTTTTTATTAGAACACCTGTCAATCTTGGAAAAACATATTTCTAAACATTTTCATAATTGCCAATATGCTTTCAGTGTATGTAGCATTATTTCATTAATATGATTTAAGATAATGAAATGGAAAACATGTATATTTTCATACAAAATACACACATACAAAAAAGAAATTATACTCCACACAAAATGTGTACGCTATATTGCAATCACCTTGGCGATCTGTACCTTCAACCAATAAATATTTGTGGCACACTTTTCTCAAAACTACTGAATTTAATGACTTCATATTTTGTCATCAGCTTGACACATGTGAGCACTTTTCAGATCTGTCAGATACCAACTTCATGTTTGTGAATACTTTGATTTTTTTACTGTTTCCAACAAACAAATGTTACTGTTGGGAAGGTTTACATTGATTTTTGCTGAGAATAACAGTACTTCAATGCAGAATTATATCTTTTAAAAGTCCCTGTTTTGGATTTCCTGATTGGTTCAGACATGATTAACAAGGACAAGGGCTGCATTACTGAATTGGTCATTTGAGTTGAAATTCCTTTTCTTGAAATATGAAATAAGGAACAGTGGTATGATTGCTAATGAGAAAACTATACAACAGAGTCCAAATGAACCCAATTTTAACAACTAAATATAGCCTTCAACAATGAGCAAAACCTATACTGACAGTCAACTATAAAAAGCAGGAACATATCAAAATTTGAAACAATTAAAACAATAAAAATCAATAGCCTGATTTATGAAAAAAAATATGACAGACAGCAACCGATGACAAGTTTACTGATTACTGTTTGTATTATAACCTGTCACATAGTGCTCTCTGTGCTTTGATATCCATTTTTTTTTAAAATAAATTTGTAAAATTTATGAAGCTAATAACATACTTATTATTTCAGATTGGAGTATATTATATTTTATTATCGTTACATTCCTTATAGTGGTAGCCATCACAGCAATAGTGTGGGGTTTTATTTGTTGGTGTAAAAATAGAAGGTAAATCTATAAATAGAAATGGTATAATTTTAGAAGATATTTTCTTTTTGAACAGTGACCTCTTAGACAATTACAAATTAAAATTTATTTGAAGATAGAAAGTAAATCCATGAATACCTTTATATAAAAAATGCAGTTAAACCAGCCCCTGTATAAATGTAACCTGTGTAAACTGAACTCCTGTAATGCCTGTCAGTCTGAAAATTTCCTTCCCTTTATATTAGATGACCTACCTTGCATAACATACATTTTGTATTAATGGTTAATTTGTTCTGGTCAGCAATAAGCAAAAATCATTTGCCATTGATATTATTTTATCTTGATTTAGATACAATCTGAAGTAAAGTTTTTGTTCACCTTTCATTCAATTTTACAAGGTTTGGCCAGAAGCTTCTTCAAAATCTAGAGCAAATTTTCAATATTTTGATAACAGTATTTATTATTCCTTTTTGTAAATGGAATTTAATTTCTCTAATTCTTCGTCAACTTATCCCCTTCTGCACCCATTGTATAAAAAAATTAAATCAACGTGTGGTTCGTTTGATCTCAGTTCTTCATTGGTTAAAATCCGATTATGACGTCGAATTTACTTGCTTTCCTCTGAATTTCCTATTGTGACGGCATGAAAAAAGGCGACCATGCCTGATGACGTCACATAGAAAGAACACATCTTTTTACAGATCATTCGAAAAGACAAAAAAAGTTTGCCTGCATATTGTTTGAAAATCGTTAGAGAAACAGATTCCACCACCAAATCTTGTGTAATACGATATTTATCCACTCTCGACAGTTAAATTTTAAATATTTAAAACGCTCATCAAGCCTCGCGTTTTAAATTTGAAAATGTAACTATCTCGAGTGGATAAATATCGTATCACACTCGATGCAGTGGTAGAATCTATATGTATTAAACCAATATGATATTTTTAATGACATTATATATTTTATTAGATGTAGGTTTAGGTGGCGGACGAAAAAAAGACACAGGTATTCTCTGTTAAAAGACAGTGAATATAAAGATGAAATCAAACTTCTTCCTAAAGGTAAATACAAGCTTGCTTATTTAGGGGCCAGCTGAGGACCACCTCTGGGTGCGGGATTTTCTCGCAGAGTTGAAGACCCATTGGTGGCCTTCGGCTGTTGTGTGCTCTATGGTCGGGTAGTTGTCTCTTTAACATATTCCCCATTTCCATTCTCAATTTTATTGCTTATTCTCATAATTACATATAGACTGTTAAATTCTGAATTTTGTGTGCCTCTTTTATTACCATTGTTGATCATTGCACACAAATGCTAGATTAATTATTGCAATTTCAGGAAATGGTACATACAAGTAATGATTTTAAAATTAATATATTATCTTTTCGAGACCTATTCCATCAAAATTTTGGCAGTAACAAAAACATCCCAAAATTTCTGAATTTATAGCATGTAAACACACACAATTATGATCCATATGATTTATTTCTGTCGCATGCTGCATATTTTTTTCTTAAAAACCTGACTCTTTTAATATTGTCAATTTAAAATGTGTATCATGGTGATGATAATGCAATTTTATTAAATGGAAATAAAACACAAAATTCCTTAGCATTAACAAAAGCATATTCAGGACTTTGCTAATATCAGACACTTTAATAACATGTATTTACATGCACAGATCATAAGTTGGAGCTTCATTTAATATATGCATGATTCATCTCAACTACAGGCTTTGCGTGCACTAATTACTGATAACTTTGTATTTATTTATTTTCATAGGTACCAGTTTTTGTGGATTTAGGAAACATTTGTTATTTTTGTGAATATATGATTTCATATAGAAGCCTGCATATAAATAAGCCTATGCAAAATTTGTTCTTCGTTGAACATGTAAATTCTTGGATCACCTGTACCCATGAAATCCACGAAAATTGGTATCCCACGAATAGTAATGAATCTACAGTTCATTTCGAAATATTTTTAAGTTGAAATATTTTTTTAGAAGTTAAAAGTTAAAATGTAAGTAGTAGCATCCATAGAATTAAATTCTAGGAATCCAATGCCTTTGATTGGCTGTATCTATTAGTCTGAATTAAATGGCTGTTGCAATTTACTAAAAATCACAGATATGTATCCACAAAGAAACAACTGCATGTTCACATATTTGACCCTCTCTCATTTCACTGCTTCCCTTCAATATCATGTTGACAAATTTTCCATTTCAGAAGGACTATGGGTAATTTCATTGTTTGTACCCAAAAAAATATTTAACACTATGTCATTAGTTGAATTCCCATTGTGTAGAATGTTGATAACCAATCAGAATGTTTTGGTGTACAATTTTGAAAATATGACCCAGAATGCATTATATTCTGAAAAGGTGGATTGAAGTGATAAAATTAAGTTTCCTTTTCTAGCATGCCATATTAAGGCCAAAAGGAAAACAAAGTTGTTTCTGGTTGTTCTGAATAACCCTCTCTTCCTCTTGAATTTGATTTTTGTTTTGCCAATTATAGAAATAAAAATGTTGATACTTTCTGACCTGCAACTTTATCTGTAACAATTTCCAGCATAAATGTATGCAATTCTTGTTGGAATTTTATGACACATAATTTCTGTTTTATATGTGTTTTACTTCATTTACTGGATGACCAACATTACCTAGATACACATCATTTTGAAACACCAGCTTTCCTTCATGAGAGTCTGGATAGGGGTCCTTAATTTCTGTATTCTTTTTTTTTTGGGGGATTTTTTTTAATTTTTTATCTTTGAAAATAATGCTTATTCTGTTAAATTCTCATGCACCTGATTTTACTCTTAATTTTTTTCTGTAATTATATGATTTCTTTATTCTGGAAGTATTTCACCAACCAGTTCTTTTATTTTCCACAGTTATTCTTTATACTTTTGCACCCTATTATTCTCTATTCTTTAATATTTTTGCTAATTTTCTATTCAGTATTTTTTTGGATCATTATTCTTCATACTGTAAACTCCATCCAGACCCTCCTTCATGCTCCAAATCAATATCTTGGATCTCTCTATACTGTAAATTCCATCCAGACGCTCCTTCATGCTCCAAATCAATACCATGGATATCTCTACTGTAAACTCCATCCAGACCCTCTTTCATGCTCCAAATCAATATCTTGGATCTCTCTATACTGTAAATTCCATCCAGACGCTCCTTCATGCTCCAAATCAATACCATGGATATCTCTACTGTAAACTCCATCCAGACCCTCTTTCATGCTCCAAATCAATATCTTGGATCGCTCTATACTGTAAACTCCATCCAGACCCTCCTTCATGCTCCAAGTCAATATCATGGATCCCTCTATACTGTAAACTCCATCCAGACCCTCTTTCATGCTCCAAATCAGTATCATGGATCTCTCTATACTGGCCCGAGTACACAGTTATTTCGTAGTGCATTTCTTTTAGACAATAAAGTCAAATTAAAAAAATCGCACCTGCTCTATCTCAAAAAGATTTTTACAGTGTAGTGTACGACTATTGGGACAAATAATATCAAAATTATAGAAAAGTCTACAAACTCTAACTCAAAATATTGACAATTCTATGTTAACTTTTTTAACTGAACCAAATCACTACTTAACATAAAGATTCAGCAACCAAATTTTTTTAACATGTAATTCATCCCCTTACTTAATATTTCATGCATATATATAAAAAAATAAATTTGGAATGTGTATGAAAAAAATTTGCAAGTTATACACTGTCTACACTAGGGACTATATTTGTAGACAACGAAAACTAAGGACGATAACTGTGTCCTCGGACCCACTGTAAAACTCCATCCAGACCCTCCTTTATGCTCAAAATCAATATCATGGATCTCTCTATACTGTATCCTCCATCCAGACCCTCCTTCATGCTCCAAATCAATATCATGGATCTAACTTGTATATCTATACCGTTACTAACTAAAAAAACAATATTTTATTTAGAAGATCTGAGTGACAAATAGGCAATTTATAATTGGTAAGTCATCTTTCTATGAGCATCCAAACTGTTATTTGTTATGTTGAATTTGATATTTAGAAATGTTAATTATGCCAGTTTGCATGTTCTTTACTAACGGATATTTTAATGTTAATACATCTGTATACTGTTAATTCAGAAATTGTAAATTTTTTTGTTAATGCAAAAAATGTGACCGTATCGTGTTCACAATTGTAGAAACTTGCATTCATAATTTCAGTAGTAATTTTCCTTCGTAAAGTTTTATCACAATCATTTAATTAAGATTTCACATTTTTGCCAGAGGACAAGGATTTGCAATAATAAATGCAAGCATAAATTTCTGTGTGTACAGCATAACAAATGTACAGATTTCAATGATATTTCAAGAAAGAAAATAAAGTATTCCTCAAACTTTTGTTATTTTTAATATCTTTAAAAATTAGAGGTTTCAATTACTATAAAATAAAAGATGGTTTGCTGTGAATACAAATTCACTGTCATGGCCTTAGCCTGGAACAGAATATGAATTATCAACCCATCTGGAAGCTATGTTATATACTGACCATTTCGTTACTCATTTGTTTCATCTTTTGTGCACATCAAACTATATGCATCCACCTCTCCCGACTGAACTTTAAAAGAGTCTTTAATATCTTATGGCTTTATGCATCTCCAGTTTTATTTTTTGACCCAAAAGATTTTTTTGGTTTTCCTTAGGAAAGATGGATGTTGCCATATATACAAAAAAAAGTAGACATTTTGTATCCAGAAGTCCTTAAAAATTACCATATTCATTAAAACTTTCCTTGAATGTTTCTTTCCTAATGAACTGTTAAAAACCTGATTTATTTACACATTGTCTGGTGGAGTTTAAGCCTAAATATTTCCACAATTTCAGAAAAATCTTGAGCTTGATTTATTTCTAACCATAGTATATAAATGTTTGGACATTGAACAATAAAATACTGTACAATTGATATAAAATGCTCTGATTGTACAAAATAAAAACTCAACAATCAAAATGAAATGTTCTGACTGTACAATTGATATAAAAGATTTGATTGTACAATTGATTTGATTGTACAATAAATACTCTACAATTGATATGAAAGATTTGATAATACAATAAATATTGTACAATTGATGTGAAAGATTTGATGGTATAATAATTACTGTACAATTGATATGAAATGTCTTATTGTACAATAATTACTGTGCAATTGATATTAAATGTCTAATTGTACAATATATATTGTACATTGTCAATTAAAAAGAAAGGTTCTGAGTGTACAGTGAATACTGTACAATTAAAAAGAAATGTTCCGATTGTACTATAAATACTGTACAATTAAAAAGAAATGTTCTGATTGTACTATAAATACTGCACAATTAAAAAGAAATGTTCTGATTGTACTATAAATACTGTACAATTAAAAAGAAATCTTCTGATTGTACTATAAATACTGCACAATTAAAAAGAAATGTTCCGATTGTACTATAAATACTGTACAATTAAAAAGAAATGTTCCGATTGTACAACAAATACTGTACAATTAAAAAGAAATGTTCTGATTGTATTATAAATACTGTACAATACATATGAAATGTTTTTATTTTTAGGTAAAACACAGAACAGCAGTGTGATGATCTCAGAATCTGATTTCTCAAGCGAAGAAGAAACATTATTTGTCAATCACAAGAAAAATGGCTTTGTCAAGAAAGCACCAAATGGCATATCTAAACAGCATTTGAAAAACAAGCTTAAAGCTTGAAATTAGGGGGTGTTGTGTTAGGGGAGATAATTTGTTAATGTTTTAATTATCTCCCTTGAAGATATCTTTACTGTTTGTAACTTTTCAACAAGGGTGATGGTAAATCATTCATATGTTTTCAAAATGTTTCCCATTTAGTATTGGGTATGAGTTTAAAAAGTTCACAGCTCTCAACTTTCTTTATGTTAAATAACTTTACTTGTTTATAAATGACACCTCATATTGAACTTTGTCAGGAAATATACATAAACAAATTTCAGGAAATCCTAGACTTTGTTTTACCAATGTTGTAATCATTGCTGATTCATACCATGCCTTTTCACAATTTCTATTTCAAATTTCCACTATGATTAAATTTTTGTACATTGAAAATAAAACTTAAACACAAATATGTTTGTTAAGATCAAATCTAGTGACACTGTTCATTGTTACAGAGAAAAACATAATGAATATTGAAAATGACATAAAAATAATAATCCAATTGTGTGTCATTATATCTGTATGAGAAATTAACCATTAATACACAATGTTGTTTTGTCAAAAATAAATACATGTATAACTATATTGTTTAGTGGTGTTCAAAACTGTCATCAATAATATATGCAATATTTTTCTATCAGAGGTCTTATTTTGATATTATCATTTAACATCTGAAAGCATTCTCATTTTAATAATCCGAAACATTTTCATACTGTGAATAATTTCAAATCTGTTAAATTCTGATTTTTTTCTCATAGAAAATCTGACTCTTTATTTAACAGCTTTGAAATTGTCAGTTTACATTGTATAAATGAATGATCATATTGTTTTAATCATTGGGAGTTTCATTTAAATATTTATTGCTATGTTTCAACATGCATAAAGAGTTTGCTAAGGCTAGCTGTTCAATGATCAAATCCAGTATTAAGCACTTGTCATACCAGTTACTGGACTAAATATTTGATAATATTTTAAATGTTTAATTGTATAATTACCTTGTCCAGGAAAATGTTGTTCCAACTTGTAAAAAATAATTGTCCAATGGATAGAATGTCTAGCGATCTACAAAGCACATCTGAAAAATTTGTATATATATGGTACAACAGAAAATATTTTATTGGTCGTCATACTGTATATCAGAGCTTTGTACGATAACATCTTTTATTGCATAGCAATGCAATATTTCCCATAGAAAGTAACAAAATCTTAGTTTAAACCAATTTTTACTTTCAAATATAATATTGCTATACAATAAAAGGGTTATTGCATGAATATTGGGGAATATTGTCCTTCGTAGAACATATATTGCACTTGCAAGCTCGTGCAATATAAAATTCTACTCGGGACAATATTCCCCAATATTCATGCAATAACCCTATAGTATTAAGGAATGCTACCTTATTTCCTTATATCCTGTCAACACTAAGGTTGTGGGTTTGAACCTTGCATGTGGCAGGTGCGTTTGACTCCAATCTTAATTGACTAGGGTTGTCAGTTTTCCTGCCGAATGTTGTGGTTCTCTCCCAGCACTCTGGCTTCCTTTATATACCCAATAGTGCTAAAATGGTTTTTAACACCAACCAATCAATCAATCCTAAGTTTGACCCAAGCAGCTACTGTAAAATCTAACTGTAAAAATAAAAGCAAGTTAATGATATGTTGGTCTTTATTATAAAGTCTAACCATAGACAAATTCTGTGTATACCTGTACATATTTGTTTTATTGGATCTATCTAAGATCAATATTTGAAAAAAATATACACAAAAAACTTCTTACGAAATCCATATATATGGCATGAAATGTCTGGTAACTTTTGTCTCAATTATGAAAGCCATTTACAGAGTTGAAGACTTCTTGGTTTTGATAAGTGGGTGATCAATTGGAAATTCAAACAAGATATAAAACATGGCTACAGATCTGTTTCTGAAAACATACTCTCTGTTTTTGTTGTTGTAAATGTCCGTATATATAAGACTAATATATAGGGATCAGGCTATTGAATGAATTAAAGCAAAGATGAAAAATATCATTGTTGAGTTTATAAATAAATTTAAATTCCTAGCGTCAATGAAATTTAGAATTGAGAAATATATAGAAAAAGAAAAAGAAAATGGCAAAAATTGTAAAAAATACCCCTGTTACTTTCTATTGGCAAGCCTCTGTTTAATAAAACACATATCAAATTATCCAAAAGTCCAGGTGTATGTGTAAATATTTCTTGTATTTTTATGTGTTATGAATTGTATGTACAATTATAAAAACAATACCATTGACTGAAATGTTTACAATTAAGATTTAAAAAAACCATTGTGAAATAAATACTTTGGTTTCATTATTATAATTTGGCTACCTATTGTTGTAGATTTCGTGGTTTTGGGTTAATCACAAATTCAAGTATCTAACACAATCCAAATTTTCTTAAAGTGTTGAATGCAAATTTGTATAAACAATGAAATGAAGTATCCATGTGAATGCAATTTTACTAAATCCTTGAAAATTGGTACCCACGATAAAACAGGTAATCCACAGTGTAGTAAAAACTCTATGTAAATAGTATTGTTCTCATTTCTTACTGGTATATTAACTTTTATTTAGATTTCAACCTTTTTCCACTTATTATTTTTATTTTTGTATGTTTGAATTAGGTTACTACTGGCTGAATAACTTTTTATCAAAATTGTTCTTTTAAGGTCCTAACTTAACATGTTCAAAAACATTTTTCTCTTTTTTGGTCAAAACCTTATCATATAAAACTGAAATAAGATTTAATTGTATTATATATGCATCATAAATTGTGAACAACACAATCTCTAACATCTTTATAAAAAAGCAATATGTATTAACTATTATTTGTGTGTATGGTATTGTGTATATATATGGGATGTCTGAGGTCAAATTGCTAAATGTTTGAAGGTCAGTGTGTGAAATATTATTGCTACATGTCTTTCAATGAAGAAAAACTAAATCCAAAGTGAATAACATGTGCTAGAAGTAAAATTTAGGAAAGATATGTATATTGTTTTATTTCTATGTACAAAAAAATAATTTACTTCATAGAAGCTTTGACCCTTTGAATTTCAGCAACCATCACTTTTTGAGACCTTTTAAATCAATCTTAACCCAATATATATTATTGTTTTATTTCTATGTAAAAATAAATCATTTACTTCATAGGAGCTTTTACCCTTTGAATTTCAGCAACCTTCACTTTTTGAGACCTTTTAAGGAAACCTTAACCCAAAATGTATTATTGTTTTATTTCTATGTACAAAAAATTCATTTACTTCATAGGAGCTTTGACCCTTTGAATTTCGGCAACCTTCACTTTTTGAGACCTTTTAAGGAATCCTTAACCCAAAATGTAACTGTTGTTCTGCAAACCACTTTGACGTTGTATAATGTTTAGCCTTTCAGAATTCTCAAAAAATTTCAGCAATACACTGATGTTAAAAAACTATTATTATAATATTTATTTGATTTTCTTAGTACCTTTGTTTTGCTTTTAAATGTTTTATTTATTTGTGTATTTTGTTAAGTGCATGTGTTTTAGTTGTATATTTATTGAGGATAAAGATTGCATGAAATGCATACCTAACCCTGTTGTCTCTGGCTTCATATATATATTTCAAGAGCCTCATATCTACTTTTGAGAGCACAAACAACGTAGTGCAGTAAGGGGAACATTCTTTAGATCCTCTCCATATCAAGTAATTTATTATTGTTATATACTCAGATATTCAAGTTACAATGTGACGTATGTGTGTATAACCTATGGTGTATGAATATATGTGTTCTAAAAATAAGAACAAAGAAAGATGAGTTAAATTCAAAAGTGTATTCTTCCAGTGCTAATACAAAGCAATGTTGAATTTATTACCCTCACATTGAAAAATGAAAGCAAGCTTTGCCATTCAGTGCTCACATGCACTTTGATTCTACAAATTGTCATGTTATTCAAGTCTTTCTCAGATTGGTAATGTATTAAACCTGTGTAAAACTGTCTAATCTGGACACCATCTTCATTCTGAAGGGGATCTTTTTAGACAGCTTTGACTGTATATTTTGTCTGTTTGTGTAATGTGCAATATCTTTCTCAGTGTCATAATACAAGTGAGATTTTTAAACATCGATATTAATTAAATTTGCAATTTGTTATTGCAATTTTGAAGATGCAATAATAAATATCCATCATTCCATATCCGATCTAACTTACTGATTGTAGAGGATAAATAAATATGATACTGTAAATTCAGAAATTATTGTGATGTTTTTATTAATGCTAAAAATGCAACAGTATCAGGTTAGCAATAATAAAATTTCCATTCATAATTTCAATAGTGATTATCCTTCTTAAAATTTTTGCAATTAAATTAATTAGATTTCACATTTTTACCAGTGGTCAAGGATTAGCAATAATAAATGCATGCATTAATATCTTAATTTACAGTAATTGACTATTGTAGAAGGTGATTAGATATGAAAATTGATTATTATTTTTAATAATTTGTCAATGATTGGTTGATATATATATAATTATTATTTGATAGTGTCGATTTAATTTCATAGATTTATTTAATGTAATTCACCATTTGATCGTAAAAAAGCCTTAGTATGCGTGTGCTCATATCGCCATAGAATTTAGAATAAGTTCACTGTTTGAATGAAATTGTTTTGATTGGTCTGCAGTATCAGAGTTTATGCTAAAGTAATTTAATTAGAACAGCTATTATATATTTATTGAATTTGTTACAATTAATCAGATGTAAGAAAAGACTAAATAATGGTTTTCTACATAATTAAAATCAACCTCATAATACCATAAATATATGAAAATAAAAACTTCTAATTTTTTTGAATGTAAATATAATGCAAAATACCTAATGCTTACCTAAACTTAAAAAATGATTTGGAATTAGCAAATTGATAGTTGATGTTTTCTTTTTTAAACTTTCTTTGAAAAAAACGATATGATGACTTTTGTTTTAAAAATGTATGTGTGAGTTTACATTAACATGTGTGGTGTTTTGTTATTATTTTAACCTGTTTGAACTGGGCAATGAACCTCAATTCTGCAATTGTTTTGTGTCAATTGGACCAGCATAAAATCAATCTGTCTATAACTAAGGAAAAAACACATTTTTCGAATTCCAGAAATATTGATATGTTATTTCTTCAGAAGTAAATTTAAAAAGTCACATTTTTCATCTATAAATATTCTTTTTTTTCTTGTGTAGAAATTCCAATAGTTATTGACTGGTCATTTTCTTTTTGTTAAACTTTTTGCCATTTTGTACTACACATAAATCTTTAAAACACCTGATATTTGGTTTATTAAATATGAACACAGAAATAGTTACTAAATAGAATTGTTTGGTTAGAAATAACTATATTGTATTATAAGCTTGGACTACCTAAAATTTATTTATCTGTCTTATGGACAGATCACTCCTTAGTAAGGTCAGATCAATTATTTTCTTGTTTTTCCCTGAAAATTATAAGGAATGGTATGCACCAGAACTAGAAAATAGATTGAAATTTTTTAATGATTTTTATGTATATTATATATTCCCAGAGACAGTTATGT